AAATTATCCTTGTGTGAGTAGGATACAGTCAACATTAGAAAGTAATATGACAACTTATCTTAATACACTACAAACTATTTTTACCGACAAAGCACAAATATTCCTATTAACTTTCTCTTATACTTAAAGCTTTTGATTCCGTTTATTCTTTAATAAAAGAGCATACCAGCTATAAATCACCCTTAAATCCTGAAATAATGTCAATTCCTCTACTTATTTCGACGTAGCATTTGGTGAATACCTGAGAGAGAATTGTCATCAAGTCGCTTTACTCGTAGTAATGAGGGCTAGGATAGTGTGACTTTAGGTTTGATCGCATTCTCCCTGTATAGCGTTATTTTTACTTTATTTTCACAACTTATTTAGAGCTACAACAAGAACTTCTTCTAAGTCCTCTATTCTCTGCTAGAATAGTCGTTACAATTTCTAGCATCGGACCAGTGACTTGGTACATTCTCAAATGTCTCACCTGCATATTAGTTGGCATCGTCAGTAATAGTTGTCATTCTTAGGACCGAGTTACAACTAGTCAAACTGACAAGTGAAGGCATTTGACATGATCAATTTTCTGTTTAACTTTAACGTGTCACTTTGACGCGTCGTAACTCGATGCTAAGGCTGGCTCTTCCCACTGACGATGCCTACTACGATGTTGGCGAATCGTTTGCGAATATACTAAGTCAACGGTCCGATGCTGAAAGCTATCATGACTATTATAGCCGAAGACTCAGGACTGGGTACACCCTATAGAGCCTCTGTCACTTCAGCCAGATTTGGAAACGTGGTTAAATCAACACAAAACGTTTTATTGCCTTCTTTCCGTCAGCCTAGCTCGACTTTGATTGGGTTAGACTCGTGATACTTTATTTAAATTGTATTATATCTAGTGAGTTGAGTGACGCAAGAGGAATAAAATTGCAAAAGGTTTTAAATTCTTCAATTGCTAGTTGTAAGAGAAGAACTAATCTTGATTCCACAAGCTGGTCTTATGCTGTTATGGGGTGTTCCAAATTTCACTTTGCATATATCTATTTTCTGCCTGTAATTGATTAATGGTTACATTTCCGGAGATTTTACGAGTATCATATTTTGTATAATTATGTCAACGGGGAACAGTCAGTATTGCTACTCAATTCTTACGCATTTACTTTGTAGAACGACGAGAGACTGCTAGCAGATTTTCTGCCCAATTACCATATAATTCGCCTTTCTTCTTTGAGCAGCAAGGTCCTGGTATTAATGATGGCTAATATATACTTATATTGCCTACGTTTTTAGGTGCTTGACACTTTTCACCTGAGATACGGATACAAAAGACACAAATTTTGCTTTTAATAGACTCTTATGAACATGGCTTCTAAAATGGATTAAGCAGTTTTGATGTCTAAGTACGTATTTGCCCTTTTTATTTCGTCTGCTTAATGCGTTTTTATCCTTTCATTAGTGTTTTCTCTGCCTCTTTGCTAGTAAGATTATCCGCCTTCAGTCTCCATCCGCTCTGCTTGAAATCATTTATTTCTTATTTAGCCCCTGATTACTTATATTACTATGTATATTTGTTCTTAACTTTTTGTCTATCTATCATCAATAAATAAGTTTATAAGTATATACATTTCTGTATGTTTGTTTCCCTCCCTCTCTCGTTATCCTCTTTTATGACTATCTCTTTCCGTCTTTATGTGTATGCTTACTTCCTGTATATCTATCTTAATGAATGCAACTTATATGAAAGCACAGATCCTTAGAGCCGACCCCGAGTGGAGTTTTAAAGTCCCCTGTGGACCTGTTAGGCTCTGCCAGTAGCACTGGCGCATCAAGTTTAGTGAGCACTCCGTTGGCGTCCACAAGCCCCGACAGCATAACGAAGCATGGAGTCAGTCTGCCAAACGGCTTATCCAACCCATATTGCTTATCTACCGATTCCAATCGTCTCATGCCCAACACTTCAGCCAGTGTGACTATCTCTGCAGTAGCCAAGTCTTTAGTTCTGCCCCACACTTTCTACCCACATTCTACCACACCTTGCTTTGCTGCTGCCGGTCGTCCATTTGTGGAAGTTACGCAAGGGAAAGAAGGAGAACTTGGGATCCGATGCGGCCAAAAAGTAGAAAATGAGGATTATGAGACGAAGCGATCAGTTGGGCCAGAATCATACTCTGCAACAAAAGTCATAGAAGATAATATAGATGAGGAGGAATTTGACGAGGTTGCCGAAGATGAGGCACAGTTGAACCTAGAGTCAAGCCTCTCATCTACAGTCCAACACAGACAAGATTTTGCCGTTAGTCCCCATCACCTATCTGGTACTTTGGGCACTCAACTGTCCAGGCCAGAAGGAAGGCAGCCTGCTTCCTCTACCCTAGGCCTTGTCAGGCCTCATTATAGCTCTCATTCTCAGCAGCGTCACCACCATTGCTCTCCCCGGTACTTTTTCTTTGGAAATGTTTTTTCTTGGTCTTGTTTGCTTCTCCTCAGTTCCAAATACTTCTATTTCTCTCACTCTTTCTCTTTATCAGTCCGATTCCAACTCTTGAGGGAGTCGGAAATGCTTGTCACTCCGTCTGGCCATGATTGCATTAGTTTTCCTGCGTGTGCGAGTTACCAGTGCAAATAGAGTAAAATAATAAGCATGTCTTTTGATTATCGGGCCTCTGCTTGGAACTGTTTGTCTATAAAGCTCTATGAATAAGCATTTTTGTCCTATCAATTTGGACCTCTGAATTACTGTTTGTTTGGCGCATGCTCTCTACTCCTTCACATTTGGGCGATGTTTTGAAATTGCCTTGGGTATGTAAAACTGGCATGTTCCCAGATCGTTATGTTCTGTTGGTTTGCAATAATAATATTACGTCTCACTCTGAATGCATTCACTTGTTGTGCTGGCACGTTTTATCTTTTTAAACTTCATGAATAGACCTTCCGAATAGGCTGTCTAATATGCTTTCCGCTATTTTACATTCTCTTCATCTGGAAAATCTCGCATACTTCAGCAATGACTCAAAAATCAGTGGCGTTTCGAGCCAACCGAGTGACGGTCCTGATGGAATTTCACCCGGAGTTAACCGGCTGCAACCAAGTTCAAGTCAAGCTCGTATGCTGCAGCTACAGCAGCACCAACAGCACCAGCACGCCCTGGCCGTGGCTTACCAGGCACGTCTACAGGCTGAATTTGAACAGCATCACCAACAACAGCAGCAGCAACAACAGCAGCAACAACAGTTGCAGGCACAGGCAAGAGCAGCTGCTGCCCATGCTGCGGCAGCTGCGGTTGCGGTTGCTCAGCAGCAACAGCATTATCAGCAAGCTCAGCGTCAGCAACAACAAAATGCATATCAACATCATATGCTTCAGCAACACCAACATAAATTGCAGCAAATGAAGGCAGTCGCAGCATTGGCATCTCCTAACGCAGGTGGACATTATCTTGGTATGTCTGCTCGACTTTAACTCGCAACAATAGAATTTTAAACTTAACAATTTTTGTCTTATATTTATGCCAAAATTATATCAAATAGAGAAACTATTCTAGTCAGTATACCCACGTAGGTAATCATGGTGATATCCAAATATCTACTGTTTACTTTTTTTATCTCTCCGTCTTCTCGCCCTTTAGTCTGGGAATTAAGTGGCATCAGTCCCATCCTCAAGGCATCGAGCTTTGGGAATAGAAATAACACTTATGTTCCATGGAAACGTGGCAAATTCAATTCCTATCTTTAAGACATCATTCTTAGACGAATGTCAATCAGTATGCTGATGTCCCTCTTGATCTTGGCTGACACCTCGTCTTGGAAATGGTTGACCTAGAATCGCTTTCCCTTATTTTGGTACTATTCGGAATATTGCATACTATGTGCCACTGGTTCACTTATTTTATCATAAGAGTGTAAATTGAATCCGACTATAATCAAATAAGATAAATTTTTTGATTCTCCCGAATGTTTGTGCAAGCTACGGACTTAGAAAAATCATTTTATGCCAATAATATAT